ATATCGTGACACTTTCATACACGAGAGGAAACATAATGGTTGTGCTGAGTGGGTCAATGAAGCTGGAGTAATAATATGTTCCCGTAAACGTCTGCAGTCGTGGACCTTATCTTGCAGTTTTGTGATTTCTTCCATCTGTAATAAACTATTTTATGTTATTGTAAAAGGTTGAGGGAAAGCCACGAAGTTACAACACTGATCAATAAGCATGGGAAAAAGTTGTATGCGCCTGAGATGAGAAGTACGTACCGTTTCCGGCTTAAAGTACGTAATACGGTACAAGGTTTTTTATCAGTACGTACCGTACAACCACTTTAAAGGACCAGTTAACTGAAAAAAAAGTTATCCTCATATTTTGACAGATTGTGACAAATAGCAAACTTAGCAACGAGTCGAAATTCCTAAATCTCTAACTGCTCTCTAACGCGTGTAAATAGCGTTTGTATTATTTTGGCGATGACGTCATAAAGTCCCTTGCGCGCGCAGAAGAGCTCGTGAGACTGTATTTTACAGGTAGAAAATGGACATAATACAATGTTTTTCCCCGAATAACTCGAAAAGTAAGTAATTTAGGGTACATGACACATGTTGCTTCATAAGTTGTATATAAACATGGCCATTCTGCACAATTTGCACACATTCAGAAACCTTTAGGGCCTTTATAGCCCAATTTACCAGATACCCATAGTTTTGCATGATTTCTGGAACCGAAAATCAGTTCTTCGCCAATAACTGAAAAAGTAAGCACTTTAAGGCATATGTTTGTTCGTAAGTCATATATTAATATTCTAATTGCGGTTCTTTTGCATCATGTCTAAAGACTCTATCACGATCCTATCGAAAATGGGCTCAGCACCACGCCCAAAATGGTTTTTGGCGAATTTCTCGAAAAGTAAGCATTTTAGGCCATGTGTTGCTCAATAACTCCTATATAAACATGCATATGCGGCTTCGTTTAAGCCTATTTTGAAGTCTCTACGACCTTCAGAAGCAAGGGGTCGGTTACGTTATTGGGTCAATATGGGCGTGGCCCTCCTGGGTTTTCTCCACGGTCAAAAAAATGTCTCCAAACGAAAATCGTTTATTCATACCTTCGGGAAGGTCTGTGCAAAGTTTCGTGAGTATTTGAACATTTGCAGGTTCATTTCCATAAATGTCCATAAATGACTGGACTACACAACTTTAGAGTTAACTTTAGAGAAACTCATAAGTCATTTATCTCAAATCAAGCTGTTAGTGTCCATGATCAACCTGTGGCGACAATGTTTTACGTGAAATGTAAAAATCAGGTGTAATATAAAAAGTGTATTTTTAGATTAAAGTGCTAGCTCATAGTTTTAGAATCGTATAGATTAACGTTGGTCGTTTAGCCATCTAACAATCGATCGTGCTGTAATATATGGCCAGAGAATAATAGGGTCTTGGAAATTCTATAGTTGTTCAGTGGGTCGATTGACTGAACACGTTTGCACTTGGTATTTAAACTTACCAGTAGTTTATTTATGTTATGTACCGATGATAATGCAATTAGGATAACAACTAGGTAAGCCGTAAGTCTAATTCAAAACACACCGCACACCGTACACTCAAATCAGTATTATACTATTTGGTAGACCCGAGACCGGGTATTTTGGCGGGAATTCTGTTCCCACGGCACTGTTCTGATAGAAGCTACTTCTACTAATGGTCCCAGAGGAACGACCGTAAAGTAGCCAGACTTCTTGTCTCCTGTACTGGCTGACACATGCGGATTGAAGTTATAAATTTCGCTATGCTATAAATATAATTGCTCTCGGAATTGAACGAACTCCTACTTATCTAGATCCTTTCTAAATTCGTTAAGAGTTTCATGGACTGGCGAAAAATAATCGGTACATTCTCCCTAGCTGCTTGTGTAATTAAGCAATGAAAACAATCCAAAATTATCACATATGACATAAGTTGTAATAGCAGAAACTTTCTAACCGTACATTCACCCGCCACTGTTCAAGAACCTATATCACTGTTTAAAATCATGACGTGAGCACTGTACATCCAATCAGCTATTCCTATAGTTAGAACGATAGCCAAAACTATCAGGATTTTGGAGAACTAGGGTATGAGTCATAATTCTAAAATTTGAGTGAGTTACACGTGTTTTATTGACGATGATAAACATTTGTAATGTAAATTACGCTATGCAAGCGCGCACTGAGGGACTTTATGACGTCACGAGGCCACAGCTTATTATTGCAATAACACGCGTTACAAGTACGCTAGAGAGTAGGTTCTTTCGGCGATACGATTCTTTACCAGTTTGTCACAGCTGATTTAAATCTTAGCCAAATTGGAGACTACAAATTTTTCAGTTAACTGGTCCTTTAAGGTACGACATTTTTCTGAAAAAACGGTGTCTGCTTTTTACCTTATTTGTATATTGTTGTAAAATTGGCAGGTATGTATGCAATTTTCAAACCACGATTTTGGTGCCAGTGAATGCTAAAGTCGAATGAAACAATTTTCAAGTCAATAAATAAATTTTAATAACTGCAATTATACTCAATAGGAGTACGTTCACTGTACAGTCATACAGTCTAATGATGGAAATAAGAATGCGGCGACATAATAAGTTTAGGTGCCCGTAGCGCCTTTTCAAGTGTTCCTGTTAGTGTTATTATTTTGTCAGTGATATAGTGCATTCCTTGAGCCGTGGGAACCATTAAGATGTAGTGTTAGTGACATAAATATGGTGTACGTGTGTTGTAATAGTTAAAGTTTTTTTTTTTTTTTTTTTTTTTTTTTTTTTTTTTTTAATTTATTTTTTTGTTAAAGTTTAATAGTTTAGGCCCCAAAAATTTGAACAGTGTGAGAATTTCAATTTTTGTTTTTTTGTGTTCGTATAGTTTGTGGTGTGTTTAATATAACTTCAGTTTAAGATACTACACTAAGTTTCATGTCATCGGCACACGAGCTGCATGAGCTGCCCTACCGGACACAAACATAAAATATATATATCTCCGGGCTATATTATTATATCGCCCGATGGTATAGCGGGCTCCCGCTATACCATCGGGCTCAAATGACGCTCAAATGACGTCAGATGAATTTCTAATGGATGAATAAAACAACGAAAATTTAGTCAACTGTAACAGGGGAACACCAGTTGCAAATAGGACCACTTTAATAACGCTCACAAAGTTGATACAAATAAGTTTACTGAATTTCTAACTTTGAGTTCATTGATCATCAGGTCTTTTTCCGACAAATATTGTTTTTTGTCCTCGATTGAGCTGCATTTCGTGATTTGAGTATTGACGTTGTTTATCGTCTGGATGGAATCCTATATTATTTGTATCCTTAATTGTGCTACTACTAAGCATACAAAACGTGGCTGAAGCTGGAATCCGAGGAAAAGAATAAAGTTGTAAATGTTAAGATGATACCGTCAGTCAAAATAATAGTAAAAACTGAATCATATTCAAATATCATTATCATATCAAGTTGGCCTTTAAAAGTTTAAAGGATAAATTTGAGCATTTCGTCCCCAAAATCCAAATGTAAATAAAAAGTCCGTCAATATTCGAAGTGACAACTTAAATTGTCCATTAACTAAACCATGACATTGAAATTAAAATGAATGCAACTCCTACACAAAATATGTAACGATGTGTGTTTCAAAATATGTTTAAAAATTGAGATTAAATAATAAGATAATAGCCAAGAGTTAATAATAAGATACGATTCAAGAGTTTAGAGTTGATTTGCTATGTGCATAAACCAGCTCATTCTGGATACAGTCTCCATGCAATAAAGATGCAGATAGTTCCTGCTACGTGTAAACCAGCTTATTCTGGATACAGTCTCCATGCAATAAAGATGCAGATAGTTCCTGCTACGTGTAAACCAGCTTATTCTGGATACAGTCTCCATGCAATAAAGATGCAGATAGTTCCTGCTACTCTGGATACAGTCTCCATGCAATAAAGATGCAGATAGTTCCTGCTATTCTGGATACAGTCTCCATGCAATAAAGATGCAGATAGTTCCTGCTATTCTGGATACAGTCTCCATGCAATAAAGATGCAGATAGTTCCTGCTATTCTGGATATAGTCTCCATGCAATAAAGATGCAGATAGTTCCTGCTATTCTGGATATAGTCTCCATGCAATAAAGATGCAGATAGTTCCTGCTACTCTGGATACAGTCTCCATGCAATAAAGATGCAGATAGTTCCTGCTATTCTGGATATAGTCTCCATGCAATAAAGATGCAGATAGTTCCTGCTATTCTGGATACAGTCTCCATGCAATAAAGATGCAGATAGTTCCTGCTACTCTGGATACAGTCTCCATGCAATAAAGATGCAGATAGTTCCTGCTACGTGTAAACCAGCTTATTCTGGATACAGTCTCCATGCAATAAAGATGCAGATAGTTCCTGCTACTCTGGATATAGTCTCCATGCAATAAAGATGCAGATAGTTCCTGCTACTCTGGATACAGTCTCCATGCAATAAAGATGCAGATAGTTCCTGCTATTCTGGATATAGTCTCCATGCAATAAAGATGCAGATAGTTCCTGCTATTCTGGATACAGTCTCCATGCAATAAAGATGCAGATAGTTCCTGCTACTCGGAATCCTAGCTGACTCATCGTAAACGTCACTATCATACTGAAATTGGATGAATATCAGTGGCAAAATGATAAAGGAACCAGTTCAGATCTGTTTCTAGAGGACCGTATACAGACTCAGATCGAGATGCGCTAAAATCTCGATCCTTATTAGGGATTGGATATAATGTGATAATTCAACCATGTCGGTGAGTGTGTTGCAACGAAGTGGCACTACAATAAACAGTCAATAATGGCGTGCTTTTTGAGAAATTCAGAACACATACTCATGCAGATCGTAGAGCCAGCAGCTTCCTCCACCTCTCCACACTACGCAGTAGTTGTCAATGATAGCTCCAAACAGAATGGGTCCTAACACGAATCCAAACGCTCGTGTAAAGAACTCGTTCAATCCCTGTGCTGCGGACCTGTCGATTTCGGGAACCACTCTGAGAATTTTCAAAGATTAGCCGCCAGAATTTTGACTATAATGTAGGATTAGTTTTGCCATATCAAACTTGGCTGTAATTTTGAGGAATTTAAAGCCTCGTGGAAGTGGAGGTAAACACTGCTTCTTGCGAACACATTATATCAATAATCAATAGTTGTATAAATCTGATTTGCAATTTGTGATTAGGAAAAACCATGTGAGTAACCTAAAACAAGATTTTAACCACCAAGCTTCCAAGGTTTGATTTTCATAAATATTTTAGTTTTGTTGAACAAAATTCTGCTCACCTGAGGTAAGCCACACTTATGGCAGGGTAGTGACTGAAGAAAAAGAGGGCTCCGAAGAATTGCTGAATTACAAAAACTATCCACTTCCTCGTCGAACAGGAATCTTCTGCTGGACATGCTCCCGGGACTAAATCTGCCTTACTGCACTCACAATTCTCATAGACCTTCTTTTCTTCCTGCAATAAAATAGGAATTATCAGAAACAATCCTCTGTACCATCAAACACTCGCTTATATGAGTAGGCTAGAATTAAACCTCTTAAAAATTATGACCAAGAATATTTTGTGTAACCGCCAATAAAGAGCTAAAATTTACGTTATATGAAGAACAGCCAGCATGGCAGGGGGAGAAGTAGGTTATCTTACTCTCCAGATCACAAACGGGCTCGTAGAAATCTTTTGAGCAACTACATTCACCGTTACACTTGTCTGTCAAGTTCCTGCTTCCCTTGCTGAGATTATAGTTTTACATTTAGTCGACCTCTACTGCTGCTTAAGATTCTCAACGATATAGCGAATATAAGTATAAGAATTAACAAGAGGAACTAAAAATCTCAAAAGCCGTATCTTAACACATTAAAATTGAGAATTGATTTTGCTTTTACTTCCAATCCAGGGAAAGGCCTTTTCTGTGAAGAGAGTGTTGAATTGACTGTCCGAATATTTGAATATGAGGAACTGACTGAGATTATGTCATGGAGTGACGGTGTGAGACACTGATTTATCAATTAGAGTAAAAACCGAGCAATAGAGAGCTGATAAGCGAGAGCTTTAATTATTACATTTGACCTGTACACTTGTATTTTAATTAGTACATTGTTGAAGAGAGAGACAGTGTTTGTATTTTAATTAGTACATTGTTGAAGAGAGAGACAGTGTTTGTATTTTAATTAGTACATTGTTGAAGAGAGAGACAGTGTTTGTATTTTAATTAGTACATTGTTGAAGATAGAGACAGTGTTCGTATTTTAATTAGTACATTGTTGAAGAGAGAGACAGTATTTGTATTTTAATTAGTACATTGTTGAAGAGAGAGACAGTGTTTGTATTTTAATTAGTGCATTGTTGAAGAGAGAGACAGTGTTTGTATTTTAATTAGTACATTGTTAAAGAGAGAGAGACAGTGTTTGTATTTTAATTAGTACATTGTTGAAGAGAGAGAAAGTGTTTGTATTTTAATTAGTACATTGTTGAAGAGAGAGACAGTGTTTGTATTTTAATTAGTACTATACAAGTAAATTTTCTGTGCCTCCGGCAGACCAAGGAGAACCTTTCCGTCGTTATAACTTACGGCACAATAAAGTTCTCATAGTTGTCATATCCTGGACAAAAAGTTCGAAGCTTGGAAACAAATTTTTAAAAAATTCAACGGACTTCAACTTGGACGGACCTTAATTAAATGAACGGACTTTATTTGAACGGAGATTAAGATGAACGTTAGGGCCTCCAGCGTTCATTTAATGTCCGTCCAAATAAGGTCCGATAAGGTATATTTTTAAAGCGACAATATTTTAAGACAGTTTACTAATACTAGTTGCGCGAAAAAACGACATTCTAAAATCAAATTACCTACCGAAGGTTGCGAGGAACTGAGCCTGAAGAACGTGTCATCAATGGAGCCTGGACTTCCTGTAGCACATGGAACACTGATGACGGTACAATGCGAAACAGAGTTCATCAACAAAGGGGGAAAAGTGAGGTGCCTGGATGGAGTGTTAGTCGGCCTTGTCCATGATGCGCCACTTTGTGAAATCATAAGTATGTTTTTCTTAAACTTTAAGAAAGAGATGCTGCGAGCTTCACGTTTAAATTAGCGCGAGTTACTTTGGTAACTAGAACGCAGAGCAAAATAAAAATTTCGAGATCGTGATGAGGCGCTGCAATTATTCCACATTATAATTCTGTCTGGCCAACAGAACTTGAATAACATATGGCGCGAAACTAGGAAAAAAATTCAATAATTTTGGAATATGTTAGGTTAAAGCGTACTGCTATTTTCCTTACCTATTTTCCCTACCTATTTCCTAACCCGGTAGGGGTACCCCTACCTATTTTCCTCCCATATTTCCCTACCTATATTTCCTAACCCTTACCTATTTTTCTCCCATATTTCCCTACCTATTTCCTAACCCTTACCTATATTTTCCTTACCCAAGATATCATACGAACCTACAAATGTAAGTTTAACTATTTAACAGAGTATGGCGGTGATCAGTGAGTATCATTTTCAATAAATATTGTATTATTTTACTGGGCAGCACTCAGCCTGTCATTCCGCTGAATCTTTATTCGTTTATGAAAATAATAGCCTGGGGTTCCCAGGTAAGTGCTTAAGTGTTATTTAGAAACAAAAATCCTGTGCAATATTGATCAAGTAATCAAGTTTTTAGATAAACAAATTCTTTGTGAAAATGTACATCGTGCTTTGCATAAAAATGTTGATAAGGCGATCATGAAGCTATCTAAAATTTCAGAAAAAAAGAAGAGCGACGAAACTTGATGGGGTTCTTATACTCACGGAAAGAAAAATGACCTTAATCTTGCAGGCGGTAAGCACTAGAATCTATGCTCAGGAATTATATAGCGTAACTTCGATTAATTTACGCGGGCATAAAATAGTTTCAAGAAATAAACTCTCGATAATGGCAAATATTTAATAGTTTGATGAGGTCTTATTCTAATTCAGTGATTGTGTGAAACTCAGCTTATTTTAGAATAACACATTACTTTTTGCAGGGACAGTTTCAGGTAAACTGCAAAACAGAATGAACGAAGGTTACACGAAGGACACCACGCACTAAGACGCACTTTCACAGCTATAATGTATAACCACTTCATAAATTAGATAGTAAATAATCAGTTGCATTTGTCTTTGTGTTGTGTTCCCAATCTCAAATAAGAATATGATAGAACTTGGTTTTTAGTTTCAATGCGGGTAGTACCACTACTACCATTATTACGATATCGTAATACTAATAGTGGTACTTCATGATATCGATCCAAATAAATTTTAATCAGTTAGATCTTAGCTAAATAGTGCGGACTCAAGTAGGAACATTTCAGCTCAAACAAATACCATGGTACGTGCCTACATACATAATACAAACTATACAGCACCGTTAATAAAGAATAAAGGGGCAGTATCCAAAATTAATTTTTAATATTATGGCATAACACTTTCTTAAGCTCTTGAAATTAAATAGCGATTGTGACGCGTTGCTTTTCAATAAGAATTTCAAATTTTATTGTTTGATTCTATTGATATTTGATTGACTATTAAAATGATCAGCTCCCATTTCAGATAACGAACTAGAGGACAACTATCTTGACAACCGAAAGCGGAAAGAAGCATCGACTGTCTGAAGCTACACATTGAAGGACTGGTATTGCAACTAAACAACTTGCATATTACATAGACTCATAGAGACACATTAAAGCGAACAATTATCTAGTTCAAATTGATAAACTTCATTTAGTGGCTATTATAATACTAGCTAAGTTATCCTCCAAATGATAAAAGTATCATTATGGTAATGTGCATTTTTATTCAAGATTTTTGAAATTACTTTTATTCTCATTTTGCAAGGTGACAATTAATTTTTTATTATGTACTTGTTTGACCTCATGCTAATTTAAAGTTGTCGTTCAAATAACTAGTACTTTAGCATTTAGGCCATTTAATTTATCTTTTTGTTTCGGTTTAAGTATAAAGAGCACAGTTTTATTTATTTTTCAGTCAAACAAAAATTTCACTTTTATGCCATTTATTACAATATCGGTATTTGGGTTGACATTATGTTTTGATTTAGTATTATTTGGGTTATAAAGTTAATTACAACGGAGTAATCTGGATTTGGCGATTACAGATTTTATTAATAAAAGATGTTTTCATATGAGAAAGTGTTCCGAGTCAAAGATTATAATTTGGCAATATTGTTAATGTTAGGAATTTGTTTGGAGGACGCTTTAGGGAATCTTCGTTCATGAGCTTTGGTAAGGAACCTTCCTAGGTCTCCGATGGTTGAAGGGTGTGCGAAGATCTGTCCAATGTCAGAGAAGAGTAATGTTTTACTTTGTTGGGACAAACAGTGGCGGAGATCTTCATAGAGAGGGCAAGTACGCAATACATGAAGTTCATCTTCGATGATTGGATCAGGGAAAGGAAGCTCTAGAAGAAGATCGAGTGACTCCGCATCTGTAGTGGAACAGTGTTTGCATGCCCTATTCGAAAGTTTATGTCGATGCATGCCGTGTCTTCCAGTTTCGATGTTGTATTGATGCGAGCTTGTTCTGAGTTGCGCAAGTCTCCTAGTCTGCTGTGGCCGTAGGTTGATCGACAGGTATGTTTCGCAACCGAAGCTTGCCTTGATGAGGTTGTAGAATCCTAGTTTTCTGTTGAGTTTTCGCTCTTTGTTCCATTGTTGAACGAAAAGGGTTTTCATAGCCTCGCTGATTTCGAGCGGGTTTGAGATATCACTTCCTCCTGTCAGTTGTTTCACTGTGTTCTTGGTGGATTCCAGCCGGGAGAACCATAACAGATTCAGATCCCTCTGCTCGGCGTAAGCGTGCCTTACTAAAGAAGAGCATCCCTCTTTGTCAAGTCCCTCCAACCTCCCGAGGTAGCTATAGACTTGGGACGTAAGCTCGATGGCAAGCGGGTATCTTCCAGTGTCACCCCACACAGCGGTGTTTGAAGTCGATTTGTTGACATTCATAGTCCATTTCATAAATGATAGGTGAACTTTCTCCAGGGGGTCTTTTGCTGTATCCTGAGTAGCCGGATAACTCCCCGAGGCAAAGATAGACATGAAATTTGTCATGGGAAGCCAGATCTGACACCCGTAGGATAGAACAGGAACAATCAGAGTGTCGAAAAGCTTAAACACAGTTGTCTTCCGGAGGTATCGAAGGTCAAGCATACTCTTGAGAGAGAAGTAGCTCCGGAGCCCTTTTTGTCTAAGCTTTATCTGGGCAAGTTTTAAAGATCCCGTGAGTGTGAATGTAATTCCAAGATATGTGTACTCACGCACTGATGGCAAGGTCATTTCCCCGTAGACAAAATTAGTACTGTCCTTGAGCACCCGTCCTGCCCGGTTAAACACCATAATTGCTGTTTTTGATATGTTAACCGATAACCCCCACTCTTGACAGTAGGTATGTAAAACTTCTAACATTCTTTGAAGACTCTCTTGATCAAGAGCCAGCAGAATCAGGTCATCGGCCCAGAGGAGGTGGGTTACTCTAGTACTTTTCAGTAACGGTACTTCGACATTTTCCATAGAATTAAGGTCTTCTGATAGTTGGTGTATGAAGCATTTGAAGAGTTCTGGAGACATGGGGTGTCCTTGTTCAGTCCCGCAAAGAACATCGATCTTTTCAGAGAGCTTGTTCAAGAGCTTGATTTTTGCTTTGGAGTTTGTGTACATGAACTCCATGCAACCAAAGA